TAAGGGAAAAAAAAAAAAGTTGTGAGGAGGCAAACCCATAAAATTTGTACCGAAACTCAGCAACCCCACCTGTGGTGTCTGGTCTCTCCCTGGAGAAAAAAAAGGAAGTTGTAATGCATGGTCTCAAAATCCACTGGAGACTTGTGGATTGCTCGCCGTAACCGAAAGGCCCCCAAATGGAATAAGTAAACATCGTCAAACTCACAGGATCGCAAACGAAGATTCCAGTTGGCTCAAAAGTTGTTCGGTAGGAAATAGCACAGTCGCTTTTAGAAATCATTTTGATTCTCAACAAAGGCATAAAACATGAAAATTATCTGTTGCTAAAAAAAAATAAAACATCAAAATAATAATTATAAATGAAAAAAAAGTGCATTTTACCTTGTTTTAAAAAGTCATACATAGTCTCTATAACATTGCAAGAATCGTTTGAAAAAACAATTTTTCCTATCAGGTTTAACCAAAACACAGCTATTGAACGCGAGAAAAAAGAAGCTGCGCGTTTCCTCAAGGGAAAAAAAAAAAAAAATGTGTTTGAATAATTACATCATGAAATTAGACTCAAAAGTAAAACTGTCTATGTAGCCTTCGTTCTTGAGTACGAAAAGATACCCAGAATCAAACATGGCTTTGGCGATCATGCATTTCATTACTGTTAATGTATTTATTTACTTATTGTGTCAGGTTTGAATTTTGTGAATTAAGGATACTTCTAATGCATTGCAACTCAATTGTTGATTAAAATAATTAATGTGTTCTGGTTTGAATAGTCACTTTTCTCTATCTGGGAGTGGAAATGCGAAAATCAGTAGAAGCACATTGATTTAGAGAATGCTAAGTGGCAACAGTGTAAAAAATATGCTTTGATATGTTGCTTTTGATTTGTTTGATGCAGCTTGAATGCTGCTGATGAGATGTTAAATAGATTCTGGATTACATTGAATGTTGATTTTAAATAGGAATACCACTGAACCACACATGTAAAAATTTAGATGTAGCATATAAATTCATTGTAGAACTTGGTTAAACATACCATGCCTGTATTGTCCAACATGATAGAGGTATGTGGGAAAGAAATTGAGCTGAAATACACTAATATGGTGGCAGAAATACATTTCATGGCTTTAATGGAAGAGAACTGCTGTTAATTTTTCTTTTGAAATTTGTCATTGTCAGTAATGGCACAATTTTATTTTTTATGACATGTGAATAAAAATTCCGTGAGTATTAATTTATTTTATATGTAGTGCTTTTATTGAAAGCAACATATGTTAAAAAAATTTTACTCATATATTTTGTACTTATTTAAAATTTTTTCCCACTAGTAAATTATATGAAGTTTGCTAATACAAAGTCTAAGATCTGAAATCATTCCAACTTTGGGATTTGGGAAATGTTTGGATTTTAGATCATAGTTTAAATCTAGTAAGATTCTTGTAGATATGGCAACGTTGGGTCTTCTTTTGTTGTTTAGGTCCGACAAAAAATACTACAGGGCTACTTTGGGCTGTAGAATTTAGGGGTGGTAAAATTTTAAGAATTTAGAGAAGCACCAAGCAGTGAAATTTGGGGATGACAAAATTTTTAGAATTTTTTAACCGACACACAATGCACTGGCTGACAAAATGCACAGCGCAGAACTGCCCAACCTCACTGCCACCTAAGAACCAAAAGTATGACTCTGGCCATCATCAATACAGCATTAGTTAAGATATTGTTATTGGCTATGGTGCGACTTCCCTAACCAGCAGGTGTTTGAAAGTGACATGCAGTAATCTCAGTTGGTAGACAACTCGACTTTACAGCATACCTGCTTTCTTTTGTTGAATATTGTAATCTCCGTTCCTAGATTTTAAGAGGAGGAATTTTTATTATTATTATTAGTTTATGTATTTTCTAATCTGTTTATTGGCTGGTGGTTCAGAAGGTCTGGATATAGAACGTCTGAATTTTAGACTTTGTAGTGTAATTATATTTCATATGAAAATAAGTTTCTTGTATGTTCATCATGTGAAGAACATTTATATTGCTAGTAAAGCAAAATAAATTTAACATGTGAGTTTTGTTCATTTTATTCTTTATTAAAAAAGAGAGTTTTTTTTTTTTTTTTTTTAATGAAAATTAGCTCGGCCATGGGTTATTTGGATCTGCCGTAATGAATTTCGATAAACATGCTTCCTACTGTGCATATAACAATCAAGCAAATGTAATATCCATCCCTTTTTTAATGCTGAATTCACTTTCAGCATCGATTTTGTCATTTTAACTATTTTGTGTATTGTATGTTAAGCTATGTTCACAAAGTCACAATTACACTTGCATTAATTTAGTCTTAGGTTTGTTTTCTTCAAAAGATTTGTAGTGATCTTAAAATTAATGTTAATTACTATTATTGTTGTTAATTTCTCAAAATTAATTTGTCAAATTGAACTGAAAATTTTGTTATGGAAATTTAAGAATTAATTATACCTTTTTATAACCTAAAATTATTAATTATTTTTATAGCTTAAATTACATTACTGTTAAAGTATAGATGGCAGAAAGCAAGGAGGATTATAGGTATTTATTTTCAGGGAAAACAAATAACCTGTATCTTTAATGTTTTTTAACACATAACAGATGTTTCTTGATTTATAAAACATTTAATATATTTAATTGTATCATTCAAAATATGCAGTGAAATCATACAAAACATTCTAGCCTGTTTAAATGTTTTCATTGTAAGATGATTTTATGTATCTTTTTTTTTTTTTTTTTTTTTTGTTATATATCTATATATGTTTCTAATAAAATTATGTTGTATTCTCAAATCTGATTTTGTTCTGTTTAAAATGAGGTATTTTATACACAAAATTTGCTATCATTTACACAAGAAATTGTCCTTATGTGCTCTTTAACCCGGCGGAAGTCTCACCAAGAAAAGTTACTAGAGTGGGCGCGTGGGGTATCGCATACCCCAATATTTAAAATACGATATAAACAGTATTATTTAGTTTTAAAACTTTTTTTTTTTTTTTCGTTCTGGTGTATTATAATAATTGGGTTTCAAAAAATTAATTTCCGAAATAATCTTAGAGTTAATTAAGATAAATGAAAATAATGAAAAATAAACATCATGCCTCTAAGTTTCATTGTGTACTAATACACAATGCTCATTTTATTTCTTCACACTTTGAACGAAATACATTCATTGTGTTCTTGACACACAATGTTTTCACATTTTAAACATTTCATTCACGTTCTTCTGTCCTTGGCGTGAAGGGCAAAAAATGCATCGCATCTTTCATAACTTAGCTGTTTCGAATTTTATGTATTCGTTTTAATTCTTCATCAAAACTTCTTCTTTTGTTTTGCATGCAGTACATCAGTTTCTTGAAAAAGTATTAATCTCTGATCTTTGTTCAATGCTTTTTTCATGAATTGTAATGCTAAGTCCTTCAAAACAGACTTCTGTTTCTGGTTGGTGGATTAGCAGTTGAATGTAATATAATTCAAGCATTTATTACAGCAACATTCAGTGCAGGAAAGAAAATTACCATTGGCCACCTCCTTGTTATTCTGGCAATTGAATAATTGGCTGACATTTCATCCCCATATCCATGCTCCTTTAGTCATATTATTAAACATATAATTCCTGACGTTTTATTTTCTCCAATAGTATCATCTATAGTATGATCGTTAGATATATGTTGAAACATAAGAACAGTTTTCTTTTTTAGGAACATCAGGAATTAATGTTTATCTTTTCGAAACCAAAAACATTGTAGAAAATATTCTTAGTTTCATCTTCAGTTTCCGAAACACAATCTTCATCGCTTTTAAATATTTCTAATAAATCTCACATGCGTTGCATCTCCAGTTTATAGGGACTCATTCTTTTTACCATAATGCAGTTAGAAATTTTTAAGAATTCAATGTCAAGTACTTTAAAATCACTTGCGAGTAGAAATATTTACTGTTACACTCTAGAAATAAATGTCTGAACTAAATATTCAGTCAGAAAAACACTTATGAGGACAAGTGTGTGGGGTGTGTCATACCCCAGTTCCAACAAAATACCGATAAATCTTTTTCTGAAACACACAGGCAAAGAAAAAGCGGTTCTGAAAGTCAACCACAACTAGAAACTCAGCTACTGAAAGCTGCACAGAATTTCAATTTCACAAGTTAGGAATATTCCACTTTTATGTAGGGTTGGGGTATGATACACCCCACGCGCTTTCCCGCGTTTTAATTTGGGTGATATATCTGCTTTTATTTGGTCATAAGACTTGCTTTGTCTTGTTCTTTTAAAGAATCTCTCTCTCTCTTTTTTTTTTTTTTTTTTTTTTTTTTTTTTTGATATCTCAAATTATAGAAATAAGTTACTAGGAAAAAGGAAAACGATATTTTTTTTAACAGAGAAAGGAAAAAAGGCATTAACTTTTTCTTGGTTCTAGTTTCAGCTGTTATAATAAGTTGTAATCGTAGAACTTGTTCATCTTATTGTTAATTGCCATAGATATTTCACAAGGAATAATGCAATAATTTTAAAATATGAATCTTTTGTGTACATGTATGTTTACTATATGTATATTCTTAGTATTGTGCTGCAGCATTAAAGCTGCATTATTTGCCGTTTCAACGTGTATGGGTTTTGTAGATAATTTTCTGTTGTTTAATGGTATGCTATAAGAAAGATTATAAATATAGAGAATTATTGTATGGAAATCATCAATTTTCTCAAAGCTGGTGTCAAACCATTAAGTGCACATTTCTGAAAACTGTGATTTTATATTAAAATTTTAACTTGATGTCAACAAGATGCATGCATGATTGCTTGTCATTTTGTTATGTTTTCATACATTCAAGGCATGTAAACTAATATTATATCAAATTTGAATATTCATGTTTTTGGTAAATTAGTTTAATGTAAAAAATATTTTGTATGAACTTATGTAATTTCATTTTGCATTATTTATATACACAGGTTTTTGAATTTTCCTTTTTCATTATTTTAGATTGTAGGGTCAGCTCCTGCATTCCCTCATGGAAGCATTGATCCAATTGAAGAAATTGCTAAGGTATACTTTTTGAATAAAGTATTACATTCAGGGTTCACAAAAGACTCTGTATGTTTAATTTAAACTATAAAAGTTAAAAGCTGAGTTTTATTGCAACTTGAACTGTTATTTTTAGTATACTCTTCCATTAAAGCTGTACCATGCGTTTTTGGAGTTTGTGGAATACATTTGGGACCATAACAACAACAAGGGGGGGGGAACCTTTATTTCATGACACATTCTTCCAAAAGTTTACTGGGATGAAAAAACACTGCCTATTTTTTATGAATAAGCTATTTTATTCATTTCTCCAATGTCATTGTATCCATTCATTTTAATGTTTAAAAAAGTTAGCAAGGATTTGGTACATATCTCTTTCTTTTTTCCTCTCATAATTATTCCAGCCAACCATTGTGGTATAACTCATTATAAGCTGTAATTAACAAATACAGTACAAAGTCCAAAATCCAGACTTGTTGGGACTTCAGCAATTCCGGATTTGGGATTTTTCCGGATATTAGATCATCAGTTTAAATGTGGTAAGATGGCATGCAGAAATTATACAATTAAAAATATGAAATCGTAATTTATGAAATAAAGAGCAATTATGATCTAAAGGTTATCAAAATTTACGAAAAAAGCTTAATATTTATTTGTTTAACTTTATTAAACATTTCTTTCAATGTAAGTTGTTCAAGTTGCTTCATTTTTTGGTTTAATACTTTCTCTTTGATTCTATAAACGGACATAATTTCTTGTTCAGTTACAGAGTTCTACTGTTCAAGTCCTGTAATTGCTGTGTCAAACATGCCGACTAACTTGTCAGTCAAAAATTTTTCCTTTTCAATAACCTCTGTCACTTCACTATCGGTAGCAGTATTTTCTGGATCTAGAACTGCAATACAGATTTCGCCGTCCATTAATTGATTGATGATTGGGGCATTATCATCGCAATCAAAAACTTCTTTTATATCATCTTCATTTATTACTGCTTCTCCACTTTTCTTTACAAAATCCATTAACTGGAAAATGATTTTCAAACCAATCGTTCATTAACACTGGCGTCACCCATGCTTTTTTATTTGCACGATATATAACGATAAAAATCGCTAGTCCTTTAAATGCTCAAGGTTGTGCACGTTTTCCGATCCCAAAAAGTTTGCATTATAAAAAAAACTTCTCATCTCTTAATTTTGCCACTCAGTGCTTCCCAAATTTCAAAAATTTTGTCTTCCCTAAATTCTGCCGTCTGGTGCCGATATATTCTGCCGCCGCTTCTGGGTTTGTGTGGTCAATAACATACCAGTTATTTTTAATTAAAATAGCACTAAATGTAATTTTTTGGCCTATGAGTTTCATTAACAAAATCTATTTTTAGCATATGAAAAGAAATTTTTGTTGAATTTTTCCTCGTCAACATTTCTTTCTTAGAGCATTTAAAAATCTATAATCATCGCCAAGCGTAATGTTAGCATAAAAGGTTGCCATACTCTTGTTATTCAATTACTAATATAAAAAAAATATTCAATTACTAATATAAAAAAAAAAGTTCAGACATCACTGCATGAGTTATTACTGAAGCTGTCTTGTATTGATAAACATGCGGTGATGTAAGCAAAATATAATAAATAATGATTCACCAGGTCGGCGACAGGGATATAAAATAGTTGAATGTTTCAGTTTGAGATGTATGCCAAGCAGACACTCAGCTACGGAGCCAAATTACTGATCTCGCGAATTTATGCTTACATGATTGTTTTTCCATAATGAGGAGTTTTATTTAGTGCCTAAGTGAAATTAAGAATCAGAATTTTTAAGTGGAAATCTCCACATGTTTTATTATGGAAGTAAAAATCAAATGCACATGCATAAAGCATACAAAAAAATGTTTGTGACTTTGAGGTTCGGATTTTAAATCATTCCGGATAATGGGCATCCGAATTTCGCACTTTGTACTGTATCAGTACATGTTAACTCTAGCAAAGTGTCTGTAGTTATCTTTTTTTGGTTTGGCAATGCTAGCCAATAGTTTTCTAAATGTTGAACTGATGTATTGATTTTTGTGTTTGTAATTTCATTGCTAATCTGGATAGTAAAGGGTGTCCCAAAATTAATGCAAGATTTGAATTCAATATAAAAGGAAGTTTTTAGTCTTTAGGTATTTATTTTTTAAGTGAATCATAAAGTATATATAATAGGGTTATTTGTGGAATAATACATCGAGCAAATGGCCTCCACAGCTTTGCTGGCAGATACACACCCTTTCGTCGAAATTTTTCATTACCTCTCTCCATAATTGTGGCTGAATTTCATTGATGCAGCTTTTAATTTCCTCTTGTAATGCACGTGTGGTTGTGGGATAGACCTTTGACTTCAAATAAAGAAATCTAATGGTGTTAAATCCCATGATCTAGGGGGCCAATTCTGAGAGATTACGCGATCAGGAAATGTCTTATGTAGTAATTGAATTGTTTCATTGGCTGTATGGCATGTGGCACTGTCTTGTTGAAACCGTATATTGGCCACATCAATATCATCCAATTTTGGCAGAAAGAACTGTGTTATCATGTCGCGATATCGAGCACCATTAACAGTTGCTGCTTGACCACCCTCATTCTCAAAAAAGTATGGTCCGATGATGCCTCCTGCCCAAAATTTGCATTTCACAATGTAAGAAACATACATATAGATCCTTCATTATTTAATAATAAAAATGGAAACTTTAAAAAGTGAATTCAAAACTTTGTTTTCATTTAAAGAAAACTTCCCAAACCTGCATTTTACAATTAAGAGAAACTGGCAATAGCCATCAATAGTTCCTTTATCTCTTAATTTTAAGAAATGGTGGTATTCTTCGTACTGTAGTCTATCATAAACTAATTTAGCACTAATCCCATATGAGCTTTTTTCAGCATTTGCATAAAATAGCTGCCTTTTTATTTTTACTTAAGACATGCCAAAGATTTCTTTTATACACCAGAATTTTATGAAAATAAATATAAACACTTAAATTCTGAAAATAATAGATACTTGTCTAATTTTGTGAAAAACTTATCAAGAAAATCAACAAAAGACTTCTGCAGTTATTTCCCAAAAGTAAAGTTCTTACTAATGCTAGAATCAAATTTGTTGGAACATTCCCTTATTATCCAGTCATCAGATAAATCAGATATCGCCACAGCCGATACTTCTGGTACATATACTGTTTTGATCCACATTGAAGATATAAACATAGAAACTTTATACTTCAATTCAGCATATTGAAAACAAGCATTGCTAAGCACTAAAAAGAAAAAGAAAAAAATATATTTATAAATTCTGTGCTAATTAATACATCAAAGAAAATAGTACAGCTTTGGTTAAACACTCTGCAGAAAGGAATAGAAGAAGACAAACTTGATCAAACCATCTATTCTAGCTGCAGCTGACAAAGCAGGCAGTTCATCTGCAAAAGCTCCTACTTACATTTAAACATGGTTTCAGCTTGTCAACCTAGAAAAATTTATCAATTGCTAATTGAAGACCTAGAAAAATTTATCAATTGCTAATTTTTTTGCTAATTGAAGACCAGAGTATGAAAAAAAAAAATATTTTTCACTTTTGAGTCCCATTCTTCCTCTCAAAACAACGTTGCAGGAATTTTGTTATCTACATAAATTCTTTGAGTGCCTTAAAATCATTGAAAGATACTACTTATAGTTTGAATCCCTTATTTCGGGAATTTTGAAGCTTAATCAAGCTATAAGTTATCAGGGATATAAGATTTTTCACTCCTGGATGCCTGGCCTTGCTGACCTAAAAGAGAATTGAACTAGCAGATATTATAACTAAGGCTACTACTATTATGCCTAACCTTCATGTCCAACTCACAGATATCAAAGTATTGATCAAATGTAAAATTCTCAATAAATGGTAGATGCATTGGGATGTTCAGGTAAACAATAAGCCAAGAAGTATTAAACCCACTATTTGAGTGCTAGCATTCTATACTAAATAAAAGTGAAAAGTATTGTTAACTCATTTGAGAATCGGTCTCTGTCACCTGACTTGTGAACATCTGAAATGCAAGAGGAATCCACTTTGCACAAATTGTAGTGCAGTTCTGATAATTCATCATATTTTGCTGGAATGCCATAGTTTTAAATATTTTCGCCTGAAACATTTTAATTATTTCAAATCAGAAAACTTAATAGGAAAAAACCTCATCATTAATTGCTCCAGTTTTTAAGATTTTGGCTTCTGTCATAAGTTGTAATCTGCTTTTATTTTGATTTTTATACAGCTTAAACTATATTGTAATTGCATGTATGCAGTATTTTAACACACTTTTTAATCTTCACTTCAACTGTTGGTTTGGCACAGATAATCTTGTAAGGTTTTATGCCAGAAAATGCAATACTAACAAGCAAACAAACATTCTGGGTTGCCTGATTATATGATTATGATTCCCTGAACATATTCCACAAAAAACTTTGAGCAAATTATTTATGAGTAGTTAATTTTTGTTGGATGTAAATATTCCAAAATTAAAAAGTAAATTGAATCAAGGATTTCTTTTAGTGCCTATAAGAACTGAACAAAAGTCATTGAGTAGGATAGTAAATTCTGCATTTTCCTGTATTTAATGAATATATTAATTATGAGACTAAAACTAAACTAAATGGTGCCCAAACTAAAACGTGGTAGACAATAAATTGTTGTAACATATTTTCTTTCAGTTGGGTCTTAAGAAAAAAATCCCTGTTCATGTGGATGCTTGCTTAGGTGGCTTCTTATTGCCGTTTATGGAAAGAGCTGGTTTCATAGTTCCTCCATTTGATTTTTCTTTACGTGGTGTTACTAGCATTTCTGTTGATACTCATAAGGTATGATCATACATTTTTTATTATATCATAATTTAATGATGTGTTCATAAGTAAAATAATTATGTCTGTTTATTGGAAGATAGGTTAGGTTAAGTTAATAAGACAAGGCTGTGAGGGTATTCTTCCTGAGAGGAGAGATGCTTTCATGGACAATTTTTCTGAAGGAGAACTGGCTCATAGTTAGTTTACACATGGGGAAAATTAAGAACCCGATCATGTAACCAGCTTGTTTGCCTGGCATCAGACCCAAATCAGATTGAGCTAATTACTAGTATTTGGTGGCCGCTGATGGGGCCAAGTTTATTGGACAATTTATTGATAAGCATAGTATATTATTATGTATGCAAACTGCATATTCTGTAGATCTCTGTAAATAGAAATGTTTCCTAGATTGAACTGAATGCTTTGTATAATTATTTTTAATTAAAAGATAAAATTTCCTAGAAATTAATGTTAACTTTAAAGAAGTTATATTATTTTGCAGTATTCTGTAAGCTTACAGTTTTTTTTTTTTTTTTTTTAAATGGGGTTGACATTATTTTCATTATGTTTCTTTTCAACAAGTCAGAGTTAGATATTATTTCCAAAACTTCTTTTTTAGATGCCTTAAATGTGAAATAATTTGTATTCTGTTAAGTTTCTGGTTTGTTTAGTCCTTTCTGCATGCAACTATGTTGTTAAATGTCTAAAAATATATTTTAAAGAAATTCATGTATTTTTTTTATAAATACAGTTTTGATTTGGAATAAAACTAAATTTATTTGTCATTCTAAATTTTTATTCTATGTTTTGGAATGTTTAATATGCTTTACAGTATCCAAATATAGTATTTTAAAGAATATTGTTCTACCTTATTTAAGTTAACATTTTCATGTATTAGTTCTGCTGTTAACAGAAGAGAAGGATTATACTTTATGCAAAAAAACTTTGGTACTTTGTGATTATCTGCACCCCCGCTGAAAAGTACTGAACACATTGGCGATTCAGTTTTGTGCAAGCTAATGTGTGAAAAGCAATAGCCAGACCAACCTCCTTTCAACCTGCGTTGTTGAAGTAAATCCACTTTTCATCACAAATGACGATCTGGTCTAGAGTTTTGCCCTTGCATTGGTATTGGTGCAGATTAGTGCATGCCTAAAAATGTCTGTTCTTATCTGCTTGAGTCAGCTAATGCGGCACCCAGCGATTGAACTAGTAGATCAAGTTTATGCAATGCATAGTGCAAATAATAGACATGGCACTAATGTGTAACTTCTTATCAAGTTCTTGTGTGGTTACATACTGATTTTTTTTTTCACAAGTTCTTGCAGGTGGGCATTATCAACATCAGTAGGCTGGCCAGAGTGTTCTGCTTCTTGAATGTCATAGTCCTTGTTTTTAAACTTTTGGCATTCTTCATAGTGCAGTATGATACAAAATTAGCACCTAAAGCTGTGCTTATGATTTCGTGACATTCTGTACACATGATAATTCCATTTCAGACACCTTGTACTTAATGATAACAATATTTTTTTAAAAAATTTCACAACACAGTGTTCTAAAGCAAGTCTCTTTCTTTCAAATGCCAAAATTTTTTTTGACAAATTATTAAACATGCCAACGCGAACTATTTGTACAGACAATATTTGCGGTGGCCGGAAACTTTCGTTAAAACTCAATATTTATTTATTTTTGATGTAATCTTTAATGATAAAATGTAGCATTATCGTTTAAGCATCCATGGTACAAAGGAAGAATAAGAAAGTATTGTGAGCAAGTATTCAGACTTCATCTTATTGCATTGCAGTTTTTATGATGTTATTATCAGTATATAATCCATAAGAATGCATTCTTCATATACAAAGAGTCAACTTTTTAGGAAGTTCCAAATGTCATTTACAAGTTACACATTGTATTTATAAAGCATTATAAGTTACATATTGCATCTGTATACCATTTTATGATTTTAGTCAAAACCATTTAAATTTTATAGTGTAAAATTATTGTAATAGATATATTAAGAGATGGAAGAGAAGCTTACTCTTTTGAGTGTTTATAATTGTTAAAATTCTGCCTGGTTTGACAATGATTTTTATTAATAAAGTTTAATGGATTTTGAGAGCATATTCTTATGTCTTCAATAATAAGTAATTTCACTCTAGTGCTTTGGTGAAATTATAATTAATAAACTGCATCCAGAAGCCATTAATCATATAAATTAGAATTAAAGTTATTTATTATTTAATTTAGGTTTTAGCCACTAAAAACTTTTGTCAAATTATGTTATTTGTAATTTGTTTCCCCTTTCAATAGATTTCATACAGCAAGAGCTTTTTTATGCTGGGCAAGTGGGGAAAAAATGAAGATTCTTCTGATAATCACCTTGGATTAAAGGGAATGAGCTTTGTTGGCAAATTTTATTAACATTCTTAAAACATGAAATATTATTTAACTGAAAAATACCTGCAGCACAGTGTGGTTAAGAAAAAAAAAAATATTCCACACCAAAAAGTATAAATGTAAATGTAATATAATAATGCTGCCATTTGCACAAATTCAGTAGTAAAAGAAAACATGTTGCCAGTAACAAAATTATCCTGTATTAATGATAATATAGAATTAAATACTGAGAAAATAAATAAGCCAAAAGAAAAAATAAAATGAGTGCCAGTGTAAAATGCACATCCAAACATACTCTCACCCTTGCCATTGCATTAAGAATAGATCATTCCTGATACAATGGCAATGGTAAAAGTTTTACTATAGATATTTTAAAATGACCGTTGATAGTTTTTATTATAATAACTCACATTGCCATCTTTTCCAGGATGAATTTCAACAATGTGCCCTAATGGCCAAACACCAGGAGGCATGTTGTTCTTAATTAATACAAGATCACCTACAGACAAATTTAGAATTTGTTCTTTCCATTTATCTCTTTGGTGTAAGGAATTGAAATACTCCTTATAATATCTCTTTGAAAAGCTTTGCTTCATTTGCTGTAATAACTCCCATTATTTTAATAAAGTGGGTTTGGGAGTATTAGAGAAATCCTCATCTGGGTTTCTAGTAATGACTTTTCCAGTTAAAAAATGAGAAGTCAAGGTATCTGAATTAGGTACATCAGAGTGATTAGTTTTAGACAAAAGTCATGAATTTAACACATCTTCAGTTTAAGTTAGTAGAGTAGTTAATTCCTCAAATGTTAACTTTGTGTCTCCTATTATTCTTTTCAAATGAAATTTTGTCAACTCCCACAAATCACCAGAGTGGAGAGAAGCAGGGGGGAATAATTTTCCATTCCATAATATTTGTGTACCATGCCTTGATACAAATCACCAGCAATGAGGACCAGCAATCTGCAGGTATGTCGTTAACTGCCTCAGTAGGATAAGCTTTTGTAGCTAGACATATAAACAAAGCTATACAGGGTGATTCAAAACACTATCGTTCAGGTTTCCTGAGGAGGTAGGGAAAATGTTGGGAAACTGATTTTACATAGGAAAGTATGCAAAAGCGACAAGTTAGCAAGTTTATGAAAACTGATACCCCAACAGAAGAATACAGCGGCATCAAATGTTTGCATGTGTACATCGCAGTCTATGTAAATGTGGTTCATTATACAGCAACATGCAGGATACAGGGAGAAGATGACTGATGTTGACTGTCAGCGTTACAGAACAAGGCTTACTGCCATGGAAGATAATTCAAATATCAACACATCAGCAGTTGTTCAGCAACTTGGAGTCTCTTAGTCAGCAGTCTCAGTCAGACACTGTACAAGGAACGTGTGCATCCTTACCAGCATGCAGTTAAAGGATGCAATTATTGCATCCTAACTTTTATCCGAAGCATGTGGAATTTGCATAATGGTTCAAGCAGAAAGGTGCCGTGGAGCTCAGTTTCCTAGCTTCTGCTGTTTTTACAGATGAAGCTTCATTCACTTGTGGAGGTGTGTTCAATACACAAAATTCGCATGTGTGGGCTTATGCCACATGGTACGAGAAGTCGCACTGCACAACATGGTTTTGCCATAAATGTGTGGGCTGGAATCATTGGTGATTGTTTCTTGGGACCTTACTTAACCTTACCTTTGAGGCCTTTATATCATTGTGGAAGTTCACGAAGTGGAACCGCTTAATTATCAACTTCATAGCTTCTTGCCTTTCATTAGATGAAAGTACTACTGCAGGATTTTTTAACTGTCATCTTCAGAACCAAAGACCCGTTCTTTGCACTGTGGAATAAATCTTAAGCAAAACGAAATTACATTAACTATTTTAAATAAAGAAGAACATTTCTGAAATAAATTTTCCAGAGTATCATTAGTCAAATAAGCTGTTGTACAAAAAATTGATTTGTGTCTTTTGTTCAGCTAAGACAGTTGCATCATTACTGGTCTCATTACTTATAAAACGTTGTAGAGGCCACTTTGCACTGTCTAACGCTAAGAATGATGGCCTTTGCTACCAAAGGGGTATGTTCAGTAGGAGTTTAGGATCAATCCCTCTAGAAGGAAGATCACCAGAGTTCTGTTTCGATGAAATGTAGTTTCATATTTGATAGGGAATAACATCTATTATTTCTGAAATCCTGTTTGCCATAAAATACTTCTGTTTTCGAGGATGAGCTCTAACCACAACAGACAACCACTTTAGAGTCAGTTCAAGCCTGGAAGGAAATTTCAGTGCTGGAGAAGACCTTACGGACAGCTTTGATTAGTCTGGAAAGGAGCAATGCACGTGAGTTCCAATCTAGGTGTAGACACTTGCTTAATGGGTGTGACTTTAGATTTAGCAACCACCAAATTGACTTCACTTCTGTCGTGAGGTATTGGTTGAACACAGTACATGATAGCAGTGTGAGCAGATTCTGACACATCACAAAAATATGCTGGTAAATGTGGTTAGATATCATTTGAAGCCATCTGGTAATTTTAACATTGCTGAGAATCTATTAAAATCTTGAAGTCTCTGCATCTTGTCTTCTCATTTTATAGGAATTGGAGCATCCCAGTCAAATTTTAAAAACCACAGCTTCTAATAAAACATTTTTAACTTGACTCTATATACCGATAGCAAGCCAAGAGAGTCAGAGATCTTAGAATATTGAGAAATAAACATTCTTTTAGTAATTTCAGTCCTGAAATCCATAGAAATTTTAAATAAAAATATGTCTTCTGTAGATTTCCAAAAGAGCTAAAGTTTTGGCACAGTCATCTAAATGAACCTCCAGGTCACTTTTGCTGTGAATGGATAAGTTTTCAAGAAGCTTAAGACATTTTGCTCTTCATTTCCTCAAATTAAATCCACATTTGTCTAATAACTGTGAAAACTTAGAGTATAGGTCAACTGCTTCCTCTAAATTGTTTGATCCAGATAAACAATTTACATAGAAAATCATTTTTAAGAACGGAATATACACGAGGATGATCCTGTTCTGAATTCAAAGCAATTTGCCACAAATAGCAATTCGCTAAGAATGGGGCAGATGCAATGCCATAAATAACTTTACATAATTTATATGTTTGCATTTTTGAATTAAGTGATTCTCCCTAAACAGTTCTTTGCAAATGTTGATCCTCATTATTTACTCTCCGCTACTACTGGCAGTAAATTTTTTTTCTATATCAACAGAAAAAGCTATTTTATGTATATGAAAATTAAGCAATATTGAAAATATATTTTGTTGTAGTGTTGCACATACACCTAAGACAGAGTTCAAAGAAACTTAATTTTTAGGTTTACATTATCCGTAAAATACTACACGAAGTTTAGTGGTAGAACTACTCTGTTTTACAACAGCATGATGCGGTAGGTAATATACCTGATAATTTTTTTCATCCTGAACAACTGAAGCCATATGATTTATAGTTTCATATTGTTGCATGAACACCTTGTATTGCCTTCCAAACTTTTTATCTAAATCAAGTTCTCTTTCCATGAATGGAAGACGGGAAATAGCCAAAGGGTTTGGAGTCGCCTAACTCTTTGGATTTACTGAAAATGGGCAGTCAGACAACAAATCTGCCATTTTTGTTTACTTGATAGTTTTCCTTAAAAATGCTTCTCCCAAAACTCTTCTTCAGCCTTTAATTCTGGTTTTGGAACATTAATTCTTCCAGTTGTCAAAAACGATTTAAGTGTTGCACTTACATTATCCTCAATATGCTAATGGGATGCAGAACACTACCATCTATTTTAATTCTACCCAATACAACCCAGCCGAAAATTGTATTTTGTGCAGTAACATTTTTATAGCCAATAATTTGCTCTGGCTGAAGCAGAGAAAAGAAATATTCAGCTCCAATTACTGTTGGGCATACTGAAATTCGGACCAGTAAGATTAATTGAATTGAAATAATCAAGATGTTTGCCATCAATTTTTTCCTGAAAGCAAATGTGAAGTTAATTTTAAGAATATATGCTTGTTTTAAAAACACCATTTTTTATTTATTTATTTATTTTCAATTTGGATTTCGAAAAGAATTTTACATTTACATACATTACATTTGCAGTTTACATAACTGCAAATCAGTGCTGCTTCAGAATCACAAGTCCCTTTGCCCAAATGCAGGCATTATGTCTTTGAATATTTAATTGTCGAATAAATGATTCACTGATGAAAGAAGCTTCACTTCCATTGCCAAAAAGGATAATGCATTTGTTACTGTGACCAGCAGAATTGTAAAAAATTACTGCCACTGTTGGTAAAAATGAAATACTCTGACACCCTTAACGGAAAAATTTGAAATATTATTTTGTTCATCTGAGTTACAAATTTGTTCATCAGACAGAGATGAATTTGACAACAATACATTACTACTTTTTAATATCTTCATGCAGGAAAGTATGGTGTTTCCATTTACAAATAGAACATAAAGTTTGTGGTGAACAAAATTTTGCTTAATGATTCCTGAAATGTAATAAATTCTTCTAGATGATATTTTTCCTAGTTGTAATATCTGCACTTTTAAATTTATAACACTCTGATAAAGTATGAAAACCATTGCAGTGCTGACAACAGAATGTTTATTATTATGCGGAGCACTCTTAGAAACAGCACATTGATTTTTCTGCAATACTCGCCTTTCAGTATTATGATTGTTTAACATTTTGAATGAAAAACATCTTCAGTTTATAAACTCCCAAAAACATTCTAAGGTAGGAAACTGTTTTTCCCCCAATCTTTTGTGACCATAAATGATGTGTTTCAAGGTCGACCTTTTCTAATTTTTAAAAAAAAATAGCCAAACGTCTCTAGACGAAGCTTTTTCGCAAGAGATTTTATTTACTCTATGGACAGCTTCATCAGACATAACAGATAGTTTTCTTAAATTAACAGGATCAGCACTAGTAATTCTTGGTTGCTCAAGAAATATTTTGAGAAGCAACATGACAGTTTGATTTTTTTTTTTTTTTTTTTTTTTTTTTTTTCTATTTTAATGATTCATGAGTTCCCAAACCTCAAGGCTTCAGAAACGAGAATGTGCTTAATGATAGCAGTTGGTTTGTCCATTATCATACATTGATAATATCATAGAATTAAATACTGATAAAATAAATAAGGCAAAAGAAAAAGAAATGAAAATATTAAATGCACATCCTAACAACTTTTCAGTCAAAAAATTTGAAATCTATATTATAAGCTAAATAGGCATGCACAAATTTTTGTGATTATCTAAGCATATTTTAAATAATAAATTCATTTAAATATTCATAACGTTTTCATAAAAAATTTTCTCTTGACCTAAAACTATTTATCTTGCAGGAAACATCTGATGAGGAAAAGAAATGGGGATACTTCTTTTATCAAAAAATATATTAATTTAATTCACTGTCTTTATATTTGAAAGTAAAGTTAATAAACTATTACTTTACTTTTTCGTATTGGTAATGTGTTTTCCTCTGAGTATCTCTGTAATCATTAATAGAAAGAAGTTTTGTGTATCTTACATCTTAATTAGTATTTTAAAAGAATGGGTGATGACTAATTTGCTACAGTGTTTTTTTTTTTTTTTTTTTTTTTTTTAGTATGCATTTGCACCAAAAGGTTCATCTATAATTTTGTACAGAGATAAAATATATCGTCATTATCAATTTTCCGTGCAACCAAATTGGCCTGGTGGTATATATGGGACACCAAACCTCTCAGGTATATTTCCATCATTGTATCTAAATAACACACTTGTTGTTGCACTGGTGTTTATGTATTAGCACAACCACCTTAATAGAAGGTGCCAAAATTTCAGGCAACCATGTGTATAGCAATTTTTCAGGTTTAACAAGTAATTTTTGCCATTTTCATATATGTTCCTTTTGCTTGCAGTAGAAAAAATTGTAGTAAAATTTGTGCAATAATCATAAAATTTTTAAAGGAAAAAATTGCTTTGAGTTGTTTTTTTAAAGCAAATGCCACAAAATGTTCATCAAAATAAAACTCAGAAAAACACTCTTATAATGATTGATTCTCAGTATAAATATCCAATCAAAATATAAAATATATAATACTTATATATTTGTAGTAAATAATTTTTTTGAATTATAAATCATTATTTTTCTTCTGCAAAAGTCACCAAACTAGGCAAAGTGGTTGTACTGATACCTTGCTGTTTATATATTTATTACAGTTAATTAATTTGAAAGTAGAACAATTAAATTATTATATGTAATCATTGGTATTAATACTTATAACTGATTACTGTTGATAATGATGCTGGGTGTTGATCAGAGGGATATACTGCTATGAATATAGAGATGCTCTTATGTCAAAAACCTTACAGTTATTTGAAACTGTATCCAAGCTTTTTTGTTGTTGTTATTGTTGTTCTGTATCTGTATTAACAAGTTTACCATAAGTGAAATACTTAAAATTAGCAAAGCAACAGCTTTGTGTCTGTCATAGATTTAGTCAAGAACTCTATCGATTTCGAAGACAGACGCAGGTCACTCTTCACCAGAAGAAAAGAAATCTGCTACGAAGGGAAAGCTTACAGTTGTATTTATACCTTACCAATATATATTAAAGCGATTATATAAAAGTAAAGCGATTATATATAGAAGAAAGAAAGTCAAGGTACAAATTCGGAGAGACATTTTGGAGCTATAGTTGAGAAAATACCACTTACTTATGGTCTTTTGGTGAACTTAATTCAGTTCTAAACCTTTGACCACTTGGAAGGTTAAACTTACTTTAAATAGTTTTTATAATTTTGCTACAAATTTTCAATCTTCCTTATTAAATACTAGTTGTGCAACTTTTGAATTCAGAAATAAGTTGTAGAAAAAATATTAAAAATAATATTCAAATGACATTAGTTAATAGAAAGTAAATTAGCTGACATTTACCACCTCCTTCCAAAAAAAGAACATACTAGAAAGCTATTTGATTCTTTTATGAAAGTATTTCTCAGAATAATGAGATTGGCTGAGAAAAGCTTAAAGATCATCATTTTCAATGTTTTTATTCTTGTATGAAAGTACTTTTCAGAATAATGAGATAGGCTGAGAAAAGCTTAAAGATCAATCATTTTCATTGCTATCACAATTGCTATACTGAGATTCTTCTGTGAGCATCTGGTCTAAATCTTATAGTCAAATGAGCCACACTCCATGTCAGCGAGTCATCACACTGGCAGTTAAAATATAGAAATCCTTTCCTGGTGAAATTAAATTTACAGCTATGCAGTATGCTTCTAATTATTTTATAAAATCACATCTGGAAATTCCTAGAAGGCATTTAGACTTAACAAATGCATTATAATTATACATCATCTTCATGCAAAATCTAGCTGATAACCAAGCATAATAAGCAAAATTAAGTGAAATTATTTCCAGAGTTACGAGAATTTGCACATTATATCAAATTTTTGAAATTTAACAAATTCTGAATTTCTGAAAACTTAGTGATTTGTGCACACATGTTAATGAAATTTGGTATGAATATGCATTTATAACAGAGAAAAAGATGTACCATTCAAAAATAATTTTGTGCGCACATGATTATCAGTAAAGTTTATAGTGCAAGGGTTTTCAAAATCCACATTGTGATATCAGACTGTAAAGGAGTCTAATATTGAGTATGATCTCTTCACACAGCCAGAGAGATTGTGCAGCACGACCCTATACTTAGACAATTGATCCCACTTGTAGCAATGCAGTTTTAAACTCTGGAATTGTTGTCAGAGAAAGATGGCAAGATGAAATTGCTCTTCTGAGATCATTCTAGACATACTGTATAGGGTTAAGATCAGGGGCTCTGGCAACACCTTATAAATAGTTACAAGGCCTGAGCACGAAAGTGTGATGTCACAGCAGAAGACTGGTTTGCTTGCAGCTCCACTCCTCATTCACCCCTAGTTTTGCTTGTTTATTTACTTAGCTTTTGCTTTTTTTTTTTTTTTTTTTTTTTTTTTTTTTTTTCTCCTGTTTGCTTCACTTACTGTTTATGGTTTATAATTCAGAAAAAAAGAAGAAAAAAAAAAAATTCACTGTGAAATTTTAAACTTAAATCCATTCCAAGAAAAGAGGAAAATTTCCTTTGTTTTGTTATTGCATTGTAAAGTATATAAATGAAAACTGATGAATAAATTTGATTTCTAATTTTCTCTTTTTACTGATTATCATTACTTGGTGATTAATAAAACCTGATCTGTAATTTTTTTTTTTTTTTTTTTTTTTTTGAATATATTTGGAAAAAATTATTTTTGATTCTGCTGGCTAAGCAGATGAACTTTTTTCAATGAAATGATGTGAAATACATGTCCACGATTTCAGATCTCCTAAAAAGGCAAAATTCAGAATGATTTTAACCTAATCTTAATTTGCATAATTTATTATTAAATGAAACTAAAGCTGATTTTTATTATATTGCCATTGTTTTCTTTTCACCGTTTTATTTCAAACATGATATTCTAATTAGAAGATATTTAAAATTTTATTCTAATTAGATAAAATTAAAATTTTAATCAATTTAGAAAATTAATCCAAAAAGCGGAACTGTCCCACTAAAATCGGGACGTATGGTCACTTTAGGTAATGGTCTCTTCTTTTCTACAGCAGCATGAGTTGCAGTTTAGAGTAGTGCTTATTTAACTTGTGCATGCCTGATCCAAGCAAATATTGTGACATTAGCAAAAAGGACATTACAGTATGCAAATTTAAGCGTAATTGCTAGTAGAACTTAAAATAATTGTCACACAGAGTCTTTTAAAATCTGTGCAGAAAAAAATCACATCTTAATTGCTAGTAGAACTTAAAATAATTGTCACACAGAGTCTTTTAAAATCTGTGCAGAAAAAAATCACATCTTTCTTTCAAAAGATGTGCATTTATGTCTTCTTTTTTCTTGGCATTTTAATGAAAGCTTTGATAACCTGTGACTTTACACCATATACAACTTAGATAGAGAGATGTAATTGCCTGAGAAATGAAGTGTTGTATAACTGATGTTTTAACTAGGTTTAACAATTTATTTGGCAAGAATCTTCATAAAATTTTATCTTTGCTATTTTTATTTGCTTAATATGGTATGTAGTTAGTTACTGATGGTTCTTTTGTGTTAGATTCCATGCAGTATATCCATTATTTGATTTCTTCCATAAGTAATATAGCTTATATTTCTAAATTAATGGTCATGTTTGATGATCAAGACCAAATAACTGTGACCCTACAAGGAACTTTCTAAATTTACATTCAGTTAAAGAATAAACACTAGAAAGACGTAATCATTCCTTGGTCTCTAAAATAAATAAAACAGTGTTGCAGTCATTCTAATAGAATTATATTAAAGTTGAACTTTCAGGTAAAAGAAACTGAAGCTATTAAAATTTATAAGATGATAGGGGGGGAAATTGTCTAAAGAATTGGGAAGGTATATGTTGGAGAGTACTTGAAATCTATGGAATTTGTGGGTTGATAAAAATTTCTATTTGTGGACTCATGAAATCATCTGATACAAAATCAGCATTAAATGTTTCTTTTTAATTGCCATTTATTTCAGGGTCACTAAGCTATACCCATTCTCTATTGTTATGTTTCTTCTGTTCAGTGTAATGTATATTAAATTTTTCTAATTATCCTTGAAAGATATAGTTTTTTCTAGGCTAAATTGGACCAGTAATTTTTAGTTGTCAGTTATATTTTTAAATTGAGTTAGTATCATTTTTAAAAATTATGATAAAAAATAGGGCTTTTTAGTTTGACTTTAAAAATAAATTTAATAACTAGAAACTGAATTTTCACAAGAGCGAATTTTCACCAAAGTATATAGGAGTGTTACTTTTGCATTGCATTATTTATCAATATATTACACTCCTTTTTTTAGCTTTGAATAAATAATTTTGTATAATACAGCAAGTGGAATCTTCTAATTAATATAATGTGTTAATTTGTCAAAATACTAGTTACTAGTAATTTATTTGGGTACTCTCTGATTATCCGCCCAAACGTCTCACAAATTTGCCAGTTGTTGGTGACTAATTTTTTGCCAACCTAACAAGTGAAAACAGTAGCCATTTTTAAAAATGGAGGTACATTGAAAATTAAATAAAGCAATAGTGAATTCACAAAAACTCAAAAAGCCATAATGAAACAAAAGAACAGCAATTTAACTAAATTAAAAATAAACATCCATAATAAAATGCTTAACTTTCTTTTTTTCCTGGACTTCCGTCCATGTGCACAATGCTTCGGAGAGTAGCAGAATTCTGGGCATCATGAAACAACGTTGCAGTACAACCTGACATTAACCATCAGCTTTTTTTAGTTTAAAAAATCAGAAACTTGCACAAATTAACTTCATGAAATGTGCATTCCTGTGCTCTCTACTACTAGACAAAAGGCCATATTATTGAATTTCAATATTTTCTCTTTCATTAGAAGCCAAAATCCACAGTGGCATTACATTCTAATACAAAATATATATATATATATATTCCACATGCTAATTATAAGCAAAATCTATAAACATGACCCTCGAATTTCAAAACATTATGGCAGCATCTGTTGCATGCATTAAGAATGAAAAGCCATAATGAAACAAAAGAACAGCAATTTAACTAAATTAAAAATAAACATCCATAATAAAATGCTTAACTTTCTTTTTTCCTGGACTTCCGTCCATGTGCACAATGCTTCGGAGAGTAGCAGAATTCT